GAGAGAGAGAGAGAGAGAGAGAGAGAGAGAGAGAGAGAGAGAAAGAGAGAGAGCGAGAGAGAGGTCTTGGACATCCGAAACCACAACTAAGGTTTGTCTGTTTAACTAGCCTCAAATTTCAAACATAATAAATGCGAAAGTTTAGCTAAGTCTGCAAAAGGATGACATCATGACACGCATCAATCGAGAAATGGTCCAAAAAAAAAAACAAAAAAAAAAAAACAAAGAAAGAAGAAGAACAAGTTAAGTCTGTTTATTTGAACACTAGGCTGAGTTCTGCGGTATAGCTGGATTGCATGTGGCAAAAAAGAGTTCCTCAATGACCGGCACAGAATCTCTCTGAGATTTATGCTAAGTTTCTTGAGTATTGCTGCTTGCTGGTCTGAGCTTGTGGTCTGCTTGCATGTGTGTAAGTCCCTGTGTGATGATCGCTATGCGGAATACTAACTGTGTGCTTGCCGTGTGTTTTCTCTCTCCCGGGAGGGATAGAATCGAAATAAGGGAACCCCACGGACAAGGCTGAAATTTTGGGACCGCGCGGAGTTCCAGAAAGGCCAGGATGAACAGGGACAGAAGCAGAATTTGGGTAGTATCTGGTAGGGGTTTTCCAGCGACTCGGGTAGACCGAGCAGAATTCCGCTAGGCCTAAAAGGAGGTTGAGGGTGATCCAGGCCTGCGAGGTGAGAGTGTGACGAACCAATTCCTGTTCCGCGCGATTTTCTGTGCGACGACAAGGAGGGGTCCTAAGCTGGGAAGGTTGGGCCAATTATGGGAGACGGGATCTAACGGAAAAATTGCATCGGTGTCCTGGTTTGTTCTCCTTTTTACGTCGTTTCTTTTCGGATGGCTGGGGCCAGGGCTGGGCGAGTCCCGGGATAATCGATTGAGTGGCTGGCGCGCTGACGGAGGCGTGATTAATAATGGTTGACGTCGCTTCTTTCTTGTTCTACTGCTGGGTTTTTGGCACGGGAGTTTTGCTTCTTTCTTTTTGAATTTCTTTTTTTTTTGAATCTTGTCGAGCCCTCGATGGCTCTCGGAATTTCGGACTTTCTTTTCGGGATTTGTGCTTTATTAAAGTTCTTTTTTCATTTTTGCGTTAAATAGGAATTTAGAAATTTAGGAATTTAGGAATTCGGAATTTCTTTTGCCGCGCGGTGCTTTTTGCTTGCGCGCTTCTTTTTGCGGCTGCAACGGAGCTCTGATTAGTCGGCGCCCTTAATCTTGCGTGTAACTCTAATTTTGGGCGGGGCGCCATTGTAACTGTATCTTTCTTCTTGAGCTTCGTCTTTCCCGCCCTGTCTCTTCTTTGCTGTGTCTAGTTGGCCCGCGGGCTGCATGATCGGATCGATGCGTGGAGAGTGGCTACGTCCCCCACGCCGCGATGTGGCCATGCCGAACGCAGGCACTTCCTTCCCTTCTCTCCCTTCTAAGTCCTTGCAATTCTGTGTTCGTTGCGCATGCATGCACGCTATAAATTTTGGCTCCGCGAGTAGATAGCTCTCTTAAACAGTTGTTGGAAGCTCGGGGTGAGCAGTGAGGGTCGGCTGACGAGCGAAGTAAGAGGTGAGTTGAAGTGGGAGTTGGGCGACCCGACGAGCTGGGGCCGAATGTGCGGGGTTGACCTGTGGGACTACAACGGACTGTAGCACGCGGGCGAACCTGACGGGCACAGAAGGACTAAGCGGGGTGACAACTTCGTGGGTTGGTGCGTGACAACGGGCTGTCCGCATCGGGGGGGGGGGGGAGAGAGAGAGAGAGAGAGAGAGAGAGAGAGAGAGAGAGAGAGAGAGTTGAGGTTGATGGACGTGGAGTTGTAATTTCTGTCTTTTCCTTTGCTTGTGTATATCCCTTACCATCTTTAAGGGAATAGCGGGTCTGGCGTCACGCTCCCGCCAGGCCCGGCTGCCACTCTTGGGAACGAGTCGGGGACACCAGGGATGGGCCCGGCAGACACCCGGGGCGTCGTTTTGTTTTTTTCCTCTTTTGCCTCGCGCGTGGCGTGGTTGCAGAAGTTTCTCGCGCCCAGCGCCGCGACGTGGGGAGATACACCGGTCGTTCGTGTGAGACTGAGTCTGCTCCGGAACATGGGGAGATACACAGGTTCCCTTTTGTTCGTTTGTTTCGTTTCTTTTTTTTTTTGTCGTTTTGCCAGTTTCCTTTTGTTCGTTTCTTTCCTTTTTTTCCTTTTTTCTGTCGTTTTGCGGGCCCGTTGTTTTCGTTTTGGCCTGAGGGCCTCGCTGCACTGCTCTCCAAATGTGCAAATGAGACTGAATCCACTGCTAGAACACGGAGAAATACATTGCCATCTTTTTTGTCTTTTGCGCACGTGGAGAGTACCAAGCGTTTTGCCTTTTTTTTGTCGCTTTGCAGGCGTTTTGCCTTTTTTTTGTCGTTTTGCAGGCCCTCCATCGGGGAAGTTCGTTTAGCATGCCTCCTGCGCAAGGGTCACATTCGCAAATCGAGGGGGACGTCGCACAGCTGCGAGTTCACGCACAGCACCTGCGGCACACGTGTTGCTTTTCCGTGTCCGACAAAGGCGGTGGGGACGAGCGGGATGAGCGGGAGGGGGGGGGGATGGAAGGGTGAGGACCAGGGCAGTGGACGGGGGGAGGGGCAACGCGAGGAGCAAGAGAGGGACCAGCGGGAGGAGGAGGAACGGGATGAGAAGAAGGGGGGGGAGGGGAGGGGAGCAGCAGGGAGGCACCGCAGAGGGAGCGGTGGGCGAAGAGTTGGTCTGCCGTGGGCGTGGCCATGGTGACCGTACTCAGAGAGTTGATTTCCATGGGACCGTAGCTTTTTTTTTGTGTGTGTGTTCCCCTGCTCTTAGTCCCCGCCGCAGTCGCGGCGGGCATCCTCCTTGTAAGTTTTGATTTCAGCTCGGGCAATTCGCCCTTATTTTCCTTCGGCATCTTTGTCTCGGCGTTGGCCCTTGTAGGGTGTCCTACTCAGTCGCGATCCTTCCTCTTTTGTGTATATCGGATGGACGAGTTCTGATGGAATGATATGCTTGTCGTTTTTGCCTAATCATCTTCGTTGCTTGTCACTTTGATCTGCTGTCGGCACGATAAGAGTTGATGTGGTTGTGGTGTCTGATGTGTGCGATGTCATTTTGCATGATCGGAAATGATTGTTTGCGGGATCACTGAATGATTGGATTGTTGGGTGATTGTCTCCGCCCCATGGCGATTTTTGCATATAGGACTTAAACCCTCTTGCATGAGAGTCGGGCGACGGACATGTGTGCGATCGAACACCTCGTGTGCGCACTAATAAGTGCGACCTACACATGTCCACACGCGGTCGATTCGCGATCACTGACGGACTTGGCACCTTCGATATCGAAATGGTTGCGGACTTTTCCTTTTGCGAGAGTTTGTGCACACGCGTGTAAACCCGGCCGAAAGGGACGGGGCCTATGCGCGTGTCTGCAAGCCTACATGCGGGCTATGACAGCGTTCTTGCCGAAATGACAAGATGTCGCGGGATCCGGAGTACCGAGAATACTGGGAAGAACAGCTCAGGCTGCGGGGGAATTTGAGAAATCCGGAACTCCCCTGTCTAACCGAGAACGACCGACTGTGTGCTAGGGACTTCCACTGCGCCATAACCAGCGACCCGAGGGGCCCCGACTACCCGACCACTTATAACACGCAATATTTCATATCCCCCGGCTTCGTCGTTATCGCCACCAATTTCCCTCCCTTCCATCTCCTCCTCCCATACCACCAACTCACGGTGGTACCGTGGAATTCCATAGCGCCGTATTGGCCCCACACGCCGTGCAGAAATTGCAGACGGCGCGGCAACCGCCGAGCCTCTGGAAGTACGAAGCCTAACCATAACACGCGACGTCAACCGCCACGTGTCCGCCCCCAGAGGTCCGACCCGTAGAAATCGCAACCATCGCGAACGGACCTCTCCCGAAACACCGTCACTGGAACGGGCGGATCGGACAACGCACCGCGCATGACATCTGACTTATGCTGCACGACATCAGCCGCCATCAGACCGACAGTAACC